GCCCCCCCCCCCCCCCCCCATCTGGTTTGTAGAATGGAGACATGGATAACCAAAATTGCGTCGGTATACAGGGTGTACTAGAGGCCTACTTCAAAAGTCTTCGAACGGTTCAGCTTTATGGTCCAACCAACTTTGCACCCGTTATTAACCAGGTTGCCAGGTACGTGGATTCCTATCATTTGACTTAAAGTTGGAGTTTTAGCATTTGTTTTGTGACTCTGATAGTTTTTTTCTTGCCCCTTATTGCTCTTTAGTGCTGCCGGTGAGGTTACGGACGGCTCTCAGTATTATGTCCTTCTGATCATCACCGATGGAGTCATCTCTGATATGGCGCAGACCAAAGAAGCTGTTGTAAATGTAAGTCTATGTGGTCAACACCTTCATCTCATTTCACTGGGCGAATATTCCTTTCGTTTAACTCTGCTTCACTTGAGGAACAAGGCCACGCTACTAACTTCTAAACTGCTGTGCATTGTATGGTTCTCAAGGATAGGGAGGATTATCACAGCTGTTTCAAACACCTCTTACAATCGTGAGGTTCAAGAAAAAGACATAACTTTACCATTATAGTATTAACATGTTTCAAAAACATCCATATTCTTTTCAAACCAGCTGAATGATATACCTGCCTGTAAGAAGGAATGTATTAGCCGTCCACATAATGGGTAATAGGGGTGAGTGTACATAAATATTTCACAGTATCACTATTATCAAGCAGCTCACTGAACAAGTTCTTTTGATAATTATCCGCCAACACAGACATTATGCAATCCAGCTACTATTCAGCACCTTTGTGATCCGAGCTCATTAATATAACAGTCACATAATAACAACATAAGAAGTATGAACTAGCAGCGTTAAACAGAACAAAAGTGCACAGTGCTGAGCCCATAGCGCCTTACATTAAACATATTATCTCAACACTTCGTAGACGTTCAGTTTGGCAGGCGATACGGAGCATCATAAGCGGCGGTGAGCAAGGGTGTCTTGTAGTCTTGGTGATGTCTTGCCAATTTTATCCACTGCCATGGAGATACAGTATATTGAGAAGGAGTTACGGGGACATGCGTAAGTGTAAAGCTGAACTCGAGCTTTAGCTTTAGCACAGTTGTACCGGCTTCTCTCCTGGACTGAAATGGCTTCCTCTGATTTCACTGCACACTGTGAGCTCCTCACAATGTGCATTAGAAGCTGCAGCAAGTCAGAAAGAGCCTGCCTGGTTGAAGGGCATCCACCATCATCTAGCCCAGGTGTGGTCAACTCCAGCCCTCCAGCTGTTGTGGAACTAGAAGTCCCATGAGGCACTGCAAGACTGACAGTTACTGGCATGACTCCCAGAGTTAGAAGTATGGGACTCTTATATAAGCAAAGATGACTCAAGTAGTATTAGGTGATGACTGATGAGTACAGATGACTGAATAGTATTAGGATTGTGCAATACTGACTCTTAAAGAGAGTGCATGGCGGTTGTGTCCATATTTTATTTATTTTCTTATTATCTGGACTAAAAAGTAGATCTTTAAAAAAAGGTTATTTTAAGGCAGGCAAATGAGCACTGTGGCTTAGTGGTTAGCACTCCCTTTAAGCACTTGGGTTTGAATCCTAGTTAGGACACTATCTGCAAAGAGTTTGCATGTTCTCCAAGTGCTGTGCATTGGATTTCTCCCACACTCCAAAGACATGCTGGTAGGTTATCTGGCTCCTGCCTAAAATGAGTTTATACGATGTATGTAAGATAGGGACCTTAGATTGTAAGCTTCTGCAATGAATTTGTGCAAGCACACGAGGATTTGATGGATCGCAACTGCAGCGTTAGACTGAGGAGGGTTCAGGTGGAGGGTTCACAGTCACACTCTGTATGGTATTGAGTGAAATCGGAACCCCTAACGCATCATACACCACCACAGTTAAGCAAAATAGAAAAGAAAGGAATGTCACTCCCACTGGCCTCAATTGGAGATCATTGGGGCATGCTGGTTAATACTAGTTAATCTCACTAGTGCGTGAAGTGTAGGTACATATCAAATGGATTGCAAGTGAAAGTTCACGGCCACAGTAGAATATGGTACTATGGTAGTTGTACTACACAGACAGGTAAATGATAAGTATAACTGCGATAAGTAGTAGTAGTTCTCTACAACTGGAATCTCAGAACTGATCCAGGTAACCGTACTCAGTCGAGATAACTGTCCTGGCTGGTGAATAGTTCCCACCACGTTACTGGTACAATAAACACTAACAAATAATGGTATCCAAACACATATGGTGTGTGATGGGGGTACTTGCGGTTCAGTGATCTCAGTTAGAGCTGGAGGTGGTTCCAGGATACCAGTTCTGTGAGTATGGCAGTCTCTATTCCAATCCTCCTGTGGAGGACTACAAGATCCAGAACAGAGTGGTAGGCAAAGCCTAGGTTGCTTGCGCGACGTGCTACCTTGCTAGAGCGCCGAGCAAGTGAACAGCCTACGTCTTTGTAGGCAGAGAGCGGTGTGTTGCGAGGCCCGACCCGAGCGTCTCCTAGCAACGGGACGCCGCTGGGCCGGTCCCGCTGCGTCATCATGCCTCTGAACCTGGCGTGAGGAGGGAGGAGCCGTGAGCAGAGGTCTGCCCGCCCGTCGCCTGGCTACCAGACGCCACTGAGGGGGCCGGACCCGCCACGGCCGTAGGAGTTGGAGCGGTGTACGTTCCTGACAGCTTCTTGAGGGCAAGGACTGATGTGAGTTAATAGTATGCAAAAGTGCTGTGTAAATAGTTGGTGCTATATAATTACCTGTAATAAAAGAAATAGCTCATTGATGTTTTGTAGTACTCTAACCTTCCAGCAGGTGGAGTGCTAGTCAGCTTTTCACATCATCAGCATGATTACATTTCAGCTGTGTTCTTTAAATAGTGACACCATTTGCTTTGTATTCCTTGTAAAAACCTAAAGTAGTAATAAACTCTCAATCCTTTTTTTCAATAATGAATCCAAATCAAACAAATATACATTGTCCACAAATTGTGTCTTTAAATTTTTGCTCCAGCACTTACAGTCGTTATGTTTCTGAACAGCTCCAACGCTCTCAGCTCGGCTTCCCTGAATCATTTACCTGTCCAGTACAAGATCACAATGGACAGAGCAATCTCCAGCAGCCATCCGTCTACTAGCTTGGAGAAGGGAGGAAGGAGGATCAGGGAGCAGGGGAATGGCTTGCCTTGCTGTCTTTGTGTGTTTGTGGAGACACACACACAGCTTACTAACACACAAGGGTGGCTCCAAGGCAAAGGAGCCAGCCTAAAACAGGATATCAAGGGACCAGCTGATTCTGCTGGAAACTAACATTTCTAAACAGCAAGAAGCAGCATCCATTGTAGGTGATTTAATCAGCATTTATATTACCTTAAATTACCTTTTGACTTTAGTAACACTTAAGCTTTGAAACAGTCCAATAGTATCTGCTGTGTCTAACTTTAGGTAGTCCCATTGCTGCAAGGTTGTCTGGGATTGTTGCTACCAGTGTAGGGTCAAAAAGAGCCCAGATGGAGTAAACAGAGCAGGTGGCACACACAGGAATAGAACAAAATTAGGGGGGAAAAAGCTTAAAGAAAAGTGCATTTCCTCTAGGCATTGTGAGAAAGAGCAGCCGCTAATAAGCCAATATCCTAACTACTGAGAATAACAATTAGTGTCTAAAATCGAGCACATACAATGCAGGCCTCCCAGTAGGCTAGGAAATGAAAAAGAGCCCTTTCTAACTGCTGATGAAAATCTGGTTTAATGAAGAGTTGACATTATTTCCAATTAAAATGAGGAAGGTTAATAATAATAATCCCACAGAGCGCACAAGAGAGATGTTTGTAGAAAAAAAAAGTCCTCGTACAGAACAAAGCTGGCCAAGAAGGATTTTCTGAGAGCCGAACAGCCCAGCACAGCCAAAATGTGTTGTTTTTTTGTAGAGCTCCGCATCAAGGGGGATTCACCAACAAAAAAAAAGAAAAGAGACCTCATTTATTGTCAACGGACCATAAGATAATCAGACTTCTAATTATGGCCCGCAGCGTTTTCTAATTTTTCTGCATGCGTCTTCGACTTAACTGCCTTCTTTAAAATTGACTTGTGCTTTTTCTGTAGGAACAAAATTGATTTAAAGGACGTTAATCCCAAAAGGCAAGCTATTTCATGTGTAAGGAAATATCATTAACCTTCATGATTTTGCAGACCCTGAGTGGGTTTTCGAAGCAGATCCCTCAACCCCAATTAACTGAAGACAAAAATGTAACAATTTATAGAGTATAGCTTACCCATAATCTACCATTACTTATAACATGGAGTGTAGCTGGTGGTGCAGATGCAATAACTCTCCACATCGTTCTGGCCATAGACAGCCAACTTGACATGCAAAAGACAAAATTGTAATCTGTTTATAATTAACTTGGAAGTTGCAAAATAGGAGTGACCATTGACAGTATACCTAATTATGGGTTTCTTGGGTTTCTCTTGTTGACCAACAGAGCCAGGGGGAAGGACATATTTTAGTACCAATTTCTATGCAACACAGCCATACCCACAGTTTTGTTTTTTATTAATTTAGGTTTTTCAAAAGACAAATGTATATGTATTTACAGACACCTACAATTAGCACAACAGGGGTTCTACAAGTAAACCTCAATCTTTGAGACAGGTAGTGAGTAAGTGGCCTAGTTTACTCAGGCTTTAGCTTGCATTCATCGGTCTGATGAGCATCATGTAAAGCAAACTTCTAGGGTTTTCTAGATCAAGGCTTCTTAAAGTGTTGGTCGGGACCCCATAACTGAATGTGGGGGGGGGGTCACAACGAAATCAAGGTGGGACTCGGTCAGGAGCGGGGACTGCTGAAGTGGTAAGCAGACGTCTACTCTGGGGCTGGGTTAGCAGGGGAACACAACACAGCGGTTCTTCTAACTATCCCCATACTATCCAGAGCAACAACAAAAAAGGTTTTCCCAGGAGTTTGGCTTTAAAAGTCATTGTTTAAATTGCGAACTGTGACTGTCTAATCCTTGCCCAGGTTGTCAGGAGAGAATCAGACTATGTGTCCAACCTAAGCACTGCTCTTGCTTACAGTTTCCTGCAAAGTCTTTGAAACCTTGTGAAATAAAACAACTTCATCTCATTAGTATGCAAAGTTGCTTTCATCTTTAATGAATGGTAAAATTATATGCATACCAAAGAATTGTTTTAAATTAAATTTATTTATGATTTATTATCAGTAAATGTTTGATTTGCATTCGTGTGTTTATATACCTATATTTTCCCCTGGGTCACCCAAAAATGTCCTCGTACGAAAAGGAGTCACGTGTGGAAAAAGTTTAAGAAGGTGTGTTCTAGATGTCCTAAGCACACTTCAACTCCAGTCTGGAAGTATTGAATACAGATCTCTTCATAGCTTGGATGGATGTAGTTTCAAACAAACTTGTAGCAGACTTTTAGCTAGCCATCCTGAAACCTTCTAGAGGCTTTTCAAATGCTAGAACCCACATTGCCTTTATGATCTGTGTTTGACACACCCAGGCTGGAGCTGTAGTGGTGATTTACCTGATTGCAATATCTTCTATACCCTCCTTATGCTACCTATAACCCATACTACAGACCTCAGATCAGCAGGCAATGTGAACTAGGAGCTGTGGCCTACATTGGGATATGCGTCTATCCTGCAGCTAGCTAGGCTGCCCTGTCACTGGCAACTGCCTACACGTCCATCCTCCTCCAAGTCAGTGGTCTACATGGTACTGCAAATGTGCTGCCTTTTCTCCATAGGCCCTAATGGAGGTGCCAATTACTTGCAATCCCTGCATGGGCGCTGGCTTCTGGTCCACATAGTCTGCTGATTTGTGGTCTGTAGTTGGGGGCATAGGTAGCATTAAAAGGGTCTGGTGTGGATGTTTAAAGCACTTGACAAAAAAAACAAAACACATATTTAGAACATTTCTGGAATACATGCACATCTCCTTATGTTTTATCCCTTTAAAGGAGAACTATGGGGTTAGGGCTTTTCCCCATAGTTCTCCAAAGGATAACGGGAGGACACAAACTAGCGTCCTCCCGTTACCCTAAGCTCAGTATACCGCGAGTTACAGCTTGCGGTATACTGAGACGCCGCAGCTGAAATGGATCCCGACAATTATGTCTGAATCCGCCCAGCTGTGTGAGTGACAGCTGGCTCGCCTATCTAGATGCAGAGCCAGCTGTACCCGCCCCCTCCCCCGTCCGTTTCGCCAGTCAGCGCTGAAGGATCGGACGGGGGAGGGAGAATCCAGTCCTTCCCCTGTCACGGCTCTCTGCCGGCACAGGATCGAGAAGTGAGCAAACGCTGGTATGTGTTCGCTCACTTCCCGATCTACTGAGCCGATCTGTGACAGTTTCATTGTCACAGGTCGGCTCAGATTATGAGGCTGAGTGAAAAGCACTCACCTCATAATTCTCCTTTAAACACGCTGCAAGATGAGGAATAACAGCAAGAAAAAGAATAACTACAGAAGAATAACTGTTGATATGCCAGAAATATAGTGTGCTCCACCTTCCTATTTGACATAACACAGCTATGAATTCCTAAGCAGATGGTGTCAGCCCTGATTGCTTAATTTCTGATGGATTGCAAAGAATACAAACCTTTCCTCATCTTCTCCCCCCCATATCTCCCTCTCCCCTCCACATCTCTATAACCCCTTATTGTGCACAGAACATTATCAGCTCACAGGATTTATGACAAAATCAACAGGTGCTTTTTGCATTTATTGAACTAATATTGCAAAACACATTTAATGATATATTCAACTGACTAACAGGGAGCAAGTGAAGATCATTGTTAGGGTTTACATACACTTTACGTTATTTAAAAGTTTTGTATTTTTTAGGTCTTCAAGAAAGCTAGTCATTACTATTGCTAAAAGCTGCATCAATACTTCGTGTGCCTGACTAGTAAGCTAAAGTCCATGTAAACTAGACCTAGTTGTTAAATGCAAACCCGAGAGATATGTGCGTGTACCTTTCAGCCTCCTGAGTACTGGGTGCTTCCAGCTACAAAGATGATGTTTTGCCCCCTGTCTGAATGCCTCACTAACCATTATATACACTGCATAAGCGCATTATAAAGGGTGCCAAGAATCTGGCTGCAGCTGGCAGTAGAATTTATTATATTGACAATCCTGGGTTCAGGGCACTTGGGAGATGAGAAGGTACATGCAGACATATCACGGTCTACTATCTGGATGAAATGTTACGTCTCTAAACTGATTTTTTTAAGTGAACAGTGTGCTGGAGAGTCGTGTATTCAGCTGTGGCCACAGCCGTACAAGTTGTCCAGGGAACATTTTTGAGCTTTTTGCGTTCTCTTTAGCTTTGAATATTAATTTCTCTAATCAGCCTCTGTTGCTGTGTTCCAGAGGCTTGAGCTAAGAGTTTTAATATTTAAAGTTATGAATACTTCTTAAACTGAGCAATTTCGGATGATGTTTCCCAGATGAGTGCGATTGAAAGTCAATAAATATTTATAGGGGCTTGCAACTTGTTTGCAGAGGGTTCCCTGATAGCTGACCATGTGCAAAGGCTGGTGGTTGGTCCTAAAAGTCCCAAAAAAATCTGCAGGTGCTTTAAAAATGGCAGGTTCAGGATGTGATTGCTTTAGGGGGTGATTGCAGGCAGTGAGGTTTTTAGGGTATTTCAAAACCATGGTTTCTAATCTTTAGAGCCTCTTTACTGTCTGGGTTGGTACCAATTGATTGCCACAAGGCCAATGTTGTCCCTATGTTCAGAAAGGGATCAGAGTCTTTACCAGGTAACTACAGACCTGTAAGCTTCTATAGCCGGGAAGGTACTTGAGAGCTTGATAAAGGACCACATACATGAGTTTTCGCTAGAAAACAATATTATAACCAATAGTATGGATTCACAAAAGGCCACAGTTCTCAAACAAATCTACTTTCTTTTTATGAGGAAGTAAAAAACCTAGACAAAGGAATGGTTGTGGATATAGTACAATTTGAATAAATGAAAAAGTGATTGGCACAATTACCCAGAGACAGCTAATGTGTAAGTTAAAGTTCATAACAGGGGTAGCCAAATTTTCACCCTCCAGCTGTGGTGAAACTACATATCCCATAAGGTATTACAAGACTCTGACAGCCACAGGCTTGACTTCCAGAGGCACATGCATAACAGGACTTGTAGCTACACCACAGCTGGTGGATTGAATTGTGGCTACCACTGGGCTATAGGCTTAGATGATTCAGTGGATCCAAAACTGGGATAAAGACCGTATTCCGTATGAGTATTGATCTGTGAATGGTCTAAGGTTGTTTGTGGTGTACGCCGGGAATCAGATACTTTTTAACCTGTTTATAAATGAATTTTAGTTTGGAAATGCACTCTGTATAAAATGTCAACCTTTGTGGTACCTGTGGAGTAAGGCCTCCATGGTGTAAATGATGTCCTATACTTGCTGTCTTGCAGGCTTCATCGTTACCATTGTCCATTATTATAGTTGGCGTTGGACCAGCAGAGTTTGATGGTAAGTGATCTGGTTTACCTAAAGGAAAACTATTTTATTTCCATAAATTTAACATTTTCATTGTGTAAATCGCATGGAAATATTTTTTGGAAGTAATTTTAACATTTACCAGTTTTGTTGTGTTATATTTGTATGATCTTAGTAGTGCAACTTTCCAGTGGCTAGCTATATCTCAAAAAGTAGAGTCAGCACTTCCTGATACACAAGGGGTAGTTTGGTACTCAACAATTGTTGCTATTTACAGGACAAACTTCCTGAAGAGTTTTTGTTGGCTGAGTTGGAAAGGTTTTGCTCAGTGACACACCGGCTTTCCATGAATCATTATGGTTCTGAGCAGTCTATAAATCTTCACTAAGATAGGAACACTAAGGTACCATCATTGTGTTGCTCATGTAGTCATTAGATATAATCAAATATTGATTCTGCTAATTTATTTGCAGCATATAAACAGCCGAGACCTAATCTACATTGGTTATTGTAGTGAAGGGTTAGAATCTCTGTTGGGTTTATAATGCTGCTGGTGTCCTCACGGTGGAGATTCATCTCTATTTGTCCTGGTTATCATCATTGCCAGGACTGAAAGTGATGGGAAATCCAAAATTCTGAGTTGTCACCAGAACAAGAATAGAAGGAAAGTCTTCCGACAGGGACACACATTCTGGTGACTAATAAGAGGAGATTTATTCTCACTATAGAGAGATTTTCTCTTACTTCCTGTTGTGTTTATAGGGCGGGAAGTGAACGGACATCTCAATAAAACCCTCATGGGGATTTTATCTATTTCCTGCTCTATCCAAAAAATACAAAGTACCAGCAGAACAGAATACCTCCTAATTGTCCCTCATTTGGAACCAAATCCCTCTGTCCCTCTTTCTTCGGTTGCCCCTCTTTTTGGACAAATGTGTAGACCCCCATAATAAATACTTAACAACCAAACTGTTATACTACACTAAACCTTTCACACAAATCTTTTCCTATCAAATTATTATTTTAAAAAGCCAGTATAAAAGAAACACATTTATAAATAAAGCACATGTTGGTTTAGTAAATTGTGTTTTGCTTTTTATGGTAATCCTGGGAGCGGTGTAACCTTTGCCTACACGTTTTCCAAATGGTATCCCTCTTTCCATCTCAGGAAGTTGGGGGGTATGGGACTGAGGAATAAGGTAAGTATTCCTCTCTTTTAAATCCCCTAGACTAAGACGTCACGGCCGGCTCCACCCAGTTGTTATTCATTGGCCGGCACCTGCTAGAAGACTCTAGCAGGTGCCAGCCAATAGGAAACAGTTGGGTGGAGCTAGCTGAAATCAGCCATACGGAGTCTGATTGAATAGCCGAACGTTGTTTGGCTCTGTTCACTTCATCTGTGTTATTCACTCGGCTGCCTTCAGCTTAGAGCTCAATACTAATTTGTAAATAGTTTAATGTCCATAGTGTGGGCACAACTGCACTTTAATATTTTTTTTATTTTTTTTTGGGGGGGGGGGGGGAGGGGGGCACCCAGATCTATTGTGTGTAAGCAGAGCAGCCTTCAGCTTTAATTAAATATTATATGAGTTTCAAAGGGATGACGGTGCTCCTCTTTAGGTCCTTCGGCCTGTGTGGATAGGGCTTTGTTGCAGACAGGATTTGCACTCGAATGCAAGGCACTTAAAGCAAATCAAATTCAGGTCAGAAGGAAGTCATCAGCAGGTCAAGCATAGCCGTCAATGAATTCTGAATGATCTCAGAAGCATGTCAATGTGATGTCATCGACACAAGCCTGAAGCCTATAGACACAGATCCTTTTATTAATATATTGTTGTGTGTTTCTGTTATCTTGCACAACCTCCTGTATATGTTACTGAGCTTTCCTTTACAATGTTAGAAATGGAGCAAAAAAATTAAAAGCTGTGTAAATTATTTAAATAATTATGACTAGGAAATCTAGCCCAGTTCCTAGCCGGATACGGCAGCCCAATGGTTAATTCATGACATTTTGAGGTTGTCGGCTGCCCTTGAGGTTTCACTTTGCCTGCAGGAGAAAATAACAGCGCAAATTCCCAGTCGAAACTCTCAGGTTTGCTACAAAGTCATTTCATGTGAAATGCTCAGAGTAATTAGGGTGTTCAATCCTGAATACATATTTACCGCCTAGTGGAAGATTTCACAGCAGTCCAAATATAGAATTTCCCAAATTGTACCCAGCGAGGATTCCAAGTAAAATAAACCCAGTTTGAGCTTGAAAATAGGCAAAATGTGGAAAACTGATAGGCAGGAATTGCTCATTGGTGACTGTTCAAGTGTAACAATGGACCAATATGGCACAATAATTACATATATGATGCAGTCAGTCAATAGCATTGCCATAGCAGTTTTTTGTTTTCTGAATGCCCCTTATAACATTGTTTTAGTAACTGCTGATCCTACCAGAAGATCTTTCCTTTAACATAGTGACAAAGCTGTTCATTCTGCAATAAAATCTCACATCAGCATTTTCACCCTGGGTAGTCTTAGATGGACATGTAGTTTTTAATGGGCTTTAAAGCCCAAATCCAGGCTAAATGACTTTTTTTTAATATTCCTCCCTCCCCCTGCAGGTATAAAATAAGTCAAGCTGCAGTACTTATCTTTGACCCAGAGCTGTCCCATGCAGTACTCTGTTTTCCCCACAATATGTCCTCAGTCTTCTGGATTGAATGTCTATAGTCACTAAACCTGGCAGACTAAGGAGATCTTCTGTGTGTAGGGCATCACTGGCTCGCCAACAAAGAGGGTACCACCACGGCATCCTGCCTACACCGTGTCATTGTTCAGAGAGCACCGCTGACATCATCATACATTGGTTGTCAGTACATTAGTGGTCAGTTGAGCAGTGTTCCCATACCTCAGAAGTCAGTGGAGAGGGGTCCCTCTCTCAGCTGTGGTCAGTGAAGGCATGTCTTCTTATATTGGTGGTCAATGGAGAAGCCTGCCTTACATTGGTATTTCAGGAAGTTCTCCCTTGCATTGGTGGTCTGTATAGAAGTGCCCCCTTACAATTGTCAATGGGAGAAGGGCCTGCTTAAACTGATGTTTTACATAGTGCCTCCTTATTTTACTGGTCAGTCTAGAAGTGCCATTTTAAAATGGTGGTCAGTGTAGAAGTGCCCCAAACACTGGTCGTTGATGGGAAAAGGGCCTGATAATTGGTGGTCCATGAAGTGCCCTTTTATAGTACTGGTCAACATAGACTTACCCTCTTACAAAGGTGGTCTGTAGAAGTCCCCCTTTACATTGGTCATCAATGGGAGAAGGGCCTGCTTAAATTGGTGTTCCATGTAGTGCCTCCTTATAGTATTAGTCATTGTAGAAATACCCTCTTACAATGGTGGTATAGTATAGAAGTGCCCCCCTTGCATTGGTTATTAACAGGAGAAGGGTCTGCTTAAATTGGTGGTCCATGTAGTGCCCCTTTATTGTACTAGTCAGTGTAGAAGTCCCCTCTTAGAATGGTGATCAGTTGATGGGAGAACGCACCTTACAACCTTACATTGGTTGACTTTTGGAAGAATGATTATAAAAAAGTGTGTAACAAATACAGGAAAATGCCACTTCTTTGCCCATGCTGCATTCACACAAGAGCCTACTATGCCTAACAGTAAATCCAGCCCTGTAGAGGGAACCAAAGCCACCACTGGCAGCACAAATTTAAATTTAAAGAAATAAAAGTAGCCCCTATGTTGCTTCAGTATGCCCTATCACATAGTGATCTAACTTAAAAATGAGACTCCTTTTAGGTGCATTCTTTATTTGAAAGAAAGTTTTGACCTTCGGAGAACAAATTACTACAAGAACGTCAAGTAGGTTCTTGAGAAGTTTTTTTTCTTACAGAGAGCTGTTTGAACGCACATCTTAAATCTCATTGTGTATATCTCCTCCCGCTTTGAAAATAGAAAAAAGGACAAGCTATGTGAAGGATTAGAAGATTCAGTCCTGTTGGAGGCAGATAAAGTGTAATGAAAGTGGATCGCCAGCCGAAGTGCATTGCTTTTATAGAGGATAGGAAGATTTGCAAGCATCGTAGGAGTGTACCGAGGTTATTAAACCTTCAAGGACATCGAAGGCTTTTGTAGCCATTTGTACAATGCAAGTCATTTCAAATCAAAATGAGATTGTAAATTCACCGTTTTAACATCAAAATCAGACCGGTGGGGGTTTAACCTCTTCTGTCAGGGCTGAGCTCCCGAAACGACACTGGCCTATTAGCCACAGGCTCAGCAGGACAAAGGGGCGAGAGCAGAAGAGGACACGGATAAAGTTACAGGAAAGAGTTTTATACAACATTGGCTGAATATGCTTTCCAATAAGATGGGAAGACCCACATGAATTTTCAGAAATAATAAAAGGTATGATTACCATAAGGAAATCCCAGGCCAGTAACTAAGCTGACCATACACATAATGATAAGCGATCAATCATGGATTCAGTCATTTCAAACTATTGTTCAACACATTAAAGAAAAATATTGATGTGGTCAAATAAAATTGGACTTTCTACTAGGAAGGATTGCATTTATCCTGGTTACCCCAACCTCTGACTCAACCTAACGCATCCTCCCCTTCACAGATGCATACCTACCTTGATCTGATGGCCACAGTTCTTATGTTTAGCCCCTTTTTCTTGACCCAAGCTAACCCTTCACAGATGCATACTTGCCTTGATCCGATGGCCATGGATCTTCCGCTTTCTCCTCTTTTCAATGACACAACCTAACCCCCCCCCCCCCTTCATAGATGCATATTTACAATGCTCCGACGACCGCAGTTTCTCTGGTTACTTCCAGTGCTGCAAGTCTTCACAGTCCTGGTTGTGCCTGCGCATTGCGGCACCATAGACTCCTAAGAGAGCTCCTCTAAGCATCTGCAGTCTTCACTGTGCTGCAAGCCTTCACTGTCTTGGCTGTGCCTGCACATTACAGCCGCATGGACTTCTATGGGACCACCTCTGAGCGTCTTCAGTCTTCACTGTGCTACAAGCCT